ATAATAATAATAATAATAATAATAATAATAATAATAATAATAATAATAAACTAAATAGCAAATAGAAATGAATTAGAAATATTTTTAATATTTTGATTCTAAACAAGGCAATATCAAAAATGTGCGTCTATACTTTCAAAACAGTGAAATATTTACATATATTGTAAATACAGTGCGGGCACTCGAACCATGAACACTCCAAGGCTTTTTTTGACATTTTTTTCATAACTATTCAACCCCACCTCTCTGTAAAAACAAAGGAATCAAACAGTTGTAGGTGTCATCCTATCACATAATGCCCAAGCTGAGTCTATTTAACAATTAGACTACGAGGATGAGTTTTCTATGAGTCAATATATAGATAGTCAATGAGGCGCGTAGCGTCGAATCGACTATTTGACTCATAGAAAACGAGAACGAGTAGTCTAATTGTTTTAGCATAAACCTACTAGCTAATATTATAGCATTGAAAACAAAGAATGACACTGAAAACTTTACTGTACAAAGCTCAGTACGGTCAACCGGCGGCAATGTTTTCATCCATCTTTGCGAACTCGACTATAAGCTTAAACTTCACATGAAGTAGTGCTCTCTATTTGTATCGCTTTTTGTCTCTATTATAAAGGTAAAAAATATCTTTACAATATTTTCCACCTTTTTATCTGTTTTTGGCAACTTTTCTAATTAAATGAGTAATAAAAAAACGGATTTATTAGCAAATACTTAGCTGTGAGATCATTAAAAGCCGTGCCATGTGTACAATCTTAAGCTTCTTGTCAGTTAATTTGCACTTTCTTTAGTTTTTTGTCTGTTATAACATAAAATAAAATACAATTATATAGTAATTACATAGTTATAATATAAAATTACACCAGATATTCAACTGTTTATTAAGCTGTTCGAACTAGTATGATTATCCAAATGAGCTAAGAAATTTGTGTTGTTGAGATATGTTATTATTAAATTTATCATGTAATTATACATAAAATACCTCTATTTCTCCTTTTCGAAAAAGTGATATTTTCATTATTTTCACATTCGAAAATATCGTTACCATGTGTATTTCAACTGTTTAATAAGCTGTTCGAGCAAGTATGATTATAAAAATGAGCTTAAATTTGTGTTGTTGAGAGATGTTATTATTAAATTTATCATGTAATTATACATAAAATACCTCTATTTCTCCTTTTCGAAAAAGTGATATTTTCATTATTTTCAC